AAAAAAACAAATAGAACCCAAATGGGCTATTTGTATGCAAAGTGGAGAGAATACTGCAGTTTTTCTGGTAAGCTTAGCCAAAATATCTTATTCAGCTATCTGTTGGCCTTATCATGTTACCACTGGTAATACTTACTTGAACTTTGTCCTGTGTAAGTTGTCAGATAGTCATTGAAGTTGAGACAGATGTGATACTAGGATAAATACCTCATTTTACAGCATGTTTATATTGTACATCAGTTTATATTGTACCTGAGCCTTAGTATTAGGACTTTAGATTCTGTTGTGATCATTCTTTGACGCTCTGGTACAGAATAATACTATATTTAAAACCGTGCTGTGGCTTGAAGAAGAGAACATCTCAATGTGGTGGTATCAACATGTGCAAATAGAGAAAATGAAATATAGATGCTTATAAAATGCTACCTAACAGTATCTTCTTGACCTATGACTCCTGACAGATTTTGCAGATGTCAGAAGATTTCAATAATGGATTCAGGCTGTGGCACTTATAATTTAAAAAGTCACATCACAATTAATAGATTCAGGATTCAATGTCTTTTTTCTGCAGTGTCACACTCGTTGCCTCTCTGACAACCTTCATTTTCTTGTGAGCAAATGGAAGCCCAGTAGCATGAGCCTCAGGAAGTCGTTAAAGCAATTAAAGGCTTCTCTCTCTCAGCACATTGCATGGTTACCATAGTATCCTCTGCCTCCAAGTCTTTACTGATGATGTCAGTATGCATACAGGGGCTATTCACAGCATCTACATGAAGATGATTCAGCCCTTACTAAAGATCATAAGCATCTCTCCATACGTTCTATTGTCTAGTGTCGCTTTAGGAATTGACAAGGCTGGAAGGTAAGTGGCTTTTGCTTCATATTTAATACTCTTTATGTATCCTTACACTGTGATGTGTCAGGGTTGCTTTTTTAATCCTCTGCTGCATTGTTCACTAAACACATGAAGTGTGCTTTAGCTGAAGCAGTTGCATAGCTTGTGTAATTTAAATTTGGCAAAGTCTAGCTAATCATTAATAATATGAAAAAAAAGACCAACTAAAAATTTCTCAAGTTAAAAATTGGTTTATTAAGTAATTGGTATTTTTTTTACCAATTAAAATTTCCAGGGCTTTTTTAGTCATATGACGAGAACACAAATTATGTAATGGGAGCGTTATCGAAGAGAAAAATTTTCAAGCTTTTTTTATTAAAACAACAAAAGCAACCCTCCAACTCACCTTTTTTCTTGTCTTCTTTATCTGGTGAGTAGAACAGTGGATGAACATACTCTCTCATGCAACTATTCTGCATGCACTTTTGTTTGTATAATGGAATGTGAATTCTTACTGAAATCTACTGTTACTGTTTAGGAAAGCAGAGGTTCTGTTCTTTACCTGAAACAGTGGAAAAACATAATGAAACACTGAAGGAACTGATTTTATGAGAAAGTTGGAGGACCCCTGCATGTTTTGCCCTTGCAAGCCAAGTTTAATTGTAAGCCTGAGATGCTGAGCTCATAACTGTTTGGTTTCACAGTTGGAATTTTTATCCTTTTCCTAGTCCACTTTCTGCATTGTTTTAGATTACTGTAATTGTAGATTGCCATGCCCAGTATGTAAAGTGTCTGATCATGTCTTTTAACAAAAAAACCCAGAAACCACCACAAAACAAAACAAAAAACCCCAGTGCTGGCAGGAGCTAAGCTGCAGAATTATAAAAAATGTCCTCTTAAATTGTCTTTAAATGCCTTGTGACTTCATTTTTGGTTTACTATGTTTCAGTTTCTCTGCTCTGAAAACTGCATGGTTTTACTTACAGAACAATCTGTGTATTTAATACTTACATATAGAAAAATTTTGGGGTGCAAGTGGGGAATGGAGAAGAACTATTAGTGTAAATGGAAACAAATTTCATTCACTTTGGCCACAACAACCCCCAGCAGCGCTACAGGCTTGGGGAGGAGTGGCTGGAGAGCTGCCAGTCAGAGAGGGACCTGGGGGTGTTGATTGACAGCCAGCTGAACAGGAGCCAGCAGTGTGCCCAGGTGGCCAAGAAGGCCAATGGCATCCTGGCTTGTGTCAGCAATAGCGTGGCCAGCAGAGACAGGGAAGGGATCTGACCCCTGGACTCGGCACTGGTGAGGTCGCACCTCAATTCCTGTGTTCAGTTTTTTGCCCCTCACTACAAAAAGGACATTGAATGACTCAAGCGTGTCCAGAGAAGGGCAATGAAGCTGGTGCATGGTCTGGAGCACATGTCGTAGGAGAAGCAGCTGAGGGAACTGGGGGTGTTTAGTCTGGAGAAGAGGAGGCTGAGGGGAGACCTCATCGCCCTCTACAGTTGCCTGAAAGGAAGCTGCAGAGAGCTGGGGATGAGTCTCTTTAACCAAGTAAGAAGCGATAGGACAAGAGGTGAAATGACCTCAAGTTGTGCCAGGGAAGGTTTAGACTGGATATTAGGAAGCATTTCTTTCCAGAAGAGGTTGTTAGGCGTTGGAATGGGCTGCCTGGGGAGGTGGTGGAGTCCCCATCCCTGGAGGTGTTTAACAGTTGGGTTGACATAATGCTTAGGGATATGGTGTAGTTGGGAACAGTCAGTGTTAGGTTAATGGTTGGACTGGATGATCCTCAAGGTCTTTTCTAACCTAGACGATTCTGTGAAATGTATAACAAAAGAGTTTGGTGTTGCAGGACATTGTACACTAAGTATGTTTTGTACAAACCCACCAATTTACCCCTTTTCCCTGTCCACCCAATTATTAAATTTACGGTATGCAAATATTTCTTTCCATCTACCTGCTTTATGTTTTCTGATTATGATGTCCATTGTTTTATTTATACACTAAGTCCTTTTGGGAATCGTGCGGTCTGTTGACATTTCTTAAGTGATATGTTTAATATGCACTGACTAATAAGACACTTATCCAGTCTAATTCTACACACAAGTTGAGATGTAAAACTACTATTAATCACAATAGATACGGTGCATTAGAAGAATGGGGGAGACAGTCTAGTAACAATATTTTTGAGGTTTTGAATATTTTTAAGTCCATGTAGAGTGAGGATTTTTTGCTTTCTGGTACAAAGGTATATGTGCTGCTTTTTTTTTTTTTTTTTTTTTTTCCACTTGACTGTCTAGCTATTAGTTTGGATATTAATATAGAAGAGGAGAAGAATACTTTAGGTGAACTGAAGAAGCCAACTCCCCTTCTAGTACTTACATCTATTAACTATTATACTTGACATTTAAAAAAAAAAGATCTGCTTGTGTACTAAATGCAGTCTTGTATTGGTCACAGTATACTCCTTTATTTTATGGCTTTAGGTGTTGTGCATCTTTTCTGTTTTAATCTGGAAGGTTACCTAGCAAGTAAGGACCACAAGATGCATAAAACATTAAGGAACAGGATATTTAATATTAACTATATTTAAGTATTACAATTTGAATTATTTTAAAGATGCTTTTGTAGATTTTGGGGTAAAAAACAGCAACCCTCAGGGTTCTGTAGTTAAAGCTTTGAAACTGCTTTGGTTAACTGTCGAAAGTTTTATATAATTGTGCAGAAGAAATTAAGACTAAAAATCCACCCACAATTTCCCCTCCTGAAATCTGTGCAAAAAGAGCTGATTCTGAGGATTTTGCCATTTTTCTATTGAATTTCATTTGAGCATTTCCATATTATGTGACTAAGGAAACATATTTCAAGCTGCATATATATGTTGGTTGTCTTATGTAGCTTCTCATGAAGTTGAGAAGATTGATGGTGGTCCTAAATACAAATAAGATCATGGTCCCAAATATTAGGAATGCTATTTAGAAGACAAATATTTCAGTTAGGAAAAAATATGCATATGTGGAGTACATGTAAGTGGAGCAGATTGTGTATACAGATGTACAGTTTTCATGTATTTGTGAATTGTTTTTATTAATTTTCTGTGTACTTTTGGTGTATTTTTTCAATGACCAAAGTGAACCTATACATATAGAAGTGATTAGCAAGTTACCATATATATGAAAAACCAAACCAAATGTTAAAAAAAAGAAAGTCTTATTCTTCAAAATAAAATAATATTCTAAATTTATCATAAATCAGTGTAATTGTCACTTTCAATGTAAAAAATAATGTATTATTATAGAAAACGTAAGCTATTTCTCTTTCTTAAATGAGCATTTTAAATGTATAAAAGGAAATAAAGATTTTACATAAAAACATAAATACTTAATCTTTGCCAGTACAGTTACTCAGTAACATTAAATGCCAGCTATATTTAAATGTAATGGACCCAGTTCCAACCACAAGTCAGTTGATATAACACTAATTCTATCAAATCTAACTATAATTCTATCAAGTCTAGGTATTAATAATTGCTGTTGTAGCATATTTTAACCCCTGAAATGCAGTTAGCAGTTTCAAGTCTTATTTTTTCATAGTTTATGCTAGCAGCAATGACATCTTTAGGATTGCGTTTCTTGGCCCAAAAGACACCATTGTATTAATTACCTTTTTTTTTTTTTTTTTAAACATGTGAATTTTATGTTAACTACTGTCCCAATTAAAACCAGCATACTGCAAATCATCTTGAAGTTGTTAGAATGATGGCTGTTGATTTTTACTTCCTAAATTTGCTTTTAAACTGCTTTGATTGTGTTATTTTGTGGATGCAAACAATATTACACAGCTATCACTGAAGGGAAACAAAGGTAGTTTTTTATTTTAAAAATGTCATGTTGGCCATTGGAGAGATTTTGTTGAAGAATGCTATTGTAAAGGCTAATGATGTGACTGCAGATCACATTGACAGTTTGCTGATGATTTGCGTACATAGAGATTGAAGTTTCAGTTCTAGTTCACTTTAGTTTTGCATTATTATATCCTGAGAAGTTCTTTAAGTGACTTAAAAAAGCAAGGAGATGTAAGCTGTTTATCTAGTGGCAGACAACTAACAGCTCCTGTATGGGAGGGAGACTGATTTTTTCTTTTTTTTTTTTATCTTAAGGAGTTCTTCCTGCTTTGTATCCTGGCATAAGAAGATGAGTGATATTCTGTACCCATTTTTTTGGGGAGCAGATTTAAGAAATTTTTTTACTTTAGCACATTAGATACATCCAGTAAATAACAGATGTAGCAAAGGAAAAGTGATTGTTCAAGGCACAACTCTAATGGCATTTCTGTTTAATGATGTAGTTTGGGGTTGGGGACTTCTTTTTCTTTACTTATAGGGTTTTATTTCCCCACCAGGGCTTTTGCTTCTATGTTCAGATTTCACAATGAAACAATTCGTTGCAGAAAGAGTACTTTTGTTTGTTCATCCACTATAATCCTATTAGGTCATTTATAGGGGTGCATGTTTGGGTGTAGTCCGTATTGTAATACTGGTAGAGATATTTGAGTTGTTCTGTTGCAGTGGTGTCATGTTTTCTCCATTTTGAGCAGAAAAGAAGGTATTATCGGAGGACTGAGGAAAAGGATAAAGACCGCTTTAAAAAAAGAAATAGTTTTTTTTCAAGTCTGTAATACTGGCCTGTAATACTGCCTTTCTCAGTCTGCTCAATCTGTCCAAATTTTCCCCCAATGCAGAATTTTAAGCTATTTTCATATTGTTATATCTTTAAAGCATGGAGCTGCTGCCTTTTTTCCGTTTAAGTTAATTATGGAGAAAATGTGTAGTCTTTCAGAATCAATCAGTGATGTTTACTCAGTTGTGTTCTGCCTCTTATGACATTATTTGTACATCTGTATGTGGAATGGGGAGATGAAAGCCATGCAGCTTGCATTTTAGTCAATAGGAGAAAAATTGTTGATTTGCTGACAGGATAAATGTAATATTTTTAGTCTGATAAAAATTGTCATGGTTTGAGCCCAGAGGACAACTAGGTATGATGCAGCCACTCACTCACCCCTTCTGCCTCAGGAATGGGAAGGAGGAAAGAAAGCAAAAGGCTTAGGGATCGAGATAAGGACAGAGAGACATCATTCACTCATTATGGTCATGAGCAAAAGACAGACTTGTTAGGGGAAGAACATCAGTTTAATTCGAACACCACTACCAGTTAACGAACAGAGTAGGACAGTGAGAAGTATAACCACATTTTAAAAACACCTTCCCCCCATCCTGATTTCTCTACCTCCTCTCCCTGCAGCAGGACAGAGGAGTCAGGGGATGGAGGTGCAGTCAGTTTGTCACATGTTGTTTCTACCTCTCCTTCTTCCTCAGGGGGAGGACTGCTCACACTTTTCCCCTGCTCCAGTGTAAGGTCTCTCTCATGGGAGACAGGCCTCCACAGGCTTTGTCCCACAGTGCTGCAACTCTTCCCAAGCTGCTCCAGCATGGCCTCAGTGTTTGCAGAGGTGTCCTCCTCGTAACTTCTCTTCAAAACTCCCCAACTCCTCCTCCCAGATTCCCCTTTAAATACATTATCACAGAGGTGCAGCCACCATTGTTAATTGGCTCAGGCCTTGGCCAGAGATGGGTCTGACTTGGAGCTGGGGGAGCTCTGAGAAGCTTCTCACAGGGAGCCACCACTGTGGCCCCCTTCCCCACTGCCAAAACCCTCTCTACACACAAACCTAACACATTCTCCCCCTTGTATCTTTGAATCACATATTTAAGAATTATAATTAAAATTCACATTCATTATACAAGACAGTATTCACACATTTCACACATCAGCACAAAAACAACAAAGAAAAAACCCAACCTTCCCCATGTAAAAATAAAAATAACATAATCACAGTACTGAAATACAATCCACCCCTTGTCCCCCCACCACAATTACAACAGAAATTCTCCTGATTATTCTGGTAACTAACAGGGTTCCCCTAACAGGGTTCACACACACAAACCCAACAGAAAAATAAATAAAATTACTTAGAGATAAGCAGTCACATAATTCTATAAGATTGTATTATTTAATCAAGAGGGCTTCAAATGTAAAAAAAAATCCATATGCAACAGTTTTGTGTCTGTCTTTTTTTCTATTATTCCAAAAATCTTTCTGCTGTGCACCTGAGATGTAGAACTACCCCTCTGTAGCTGTATGAAAATGAAGAACAATCTGCATAAAGTTCTTTTAACTGGCTTTCTTTTAAATGTCTTCCTTTTATCTGGAACCATGTGTATACTTTTGTCTAAATGTAAATGTAGTAATAAAATAGTCAGAACTGGTAGTTAGAACTGGTATTCTCCTGCACTAATTACTAAAGTTCTGCTGTTTTTCATAAATAGTTCCAGTCCATATTGACTGGTAACCTGTTTTCATTCCACTAGTGATTGATTCCCAAAATCCTATTTTTTTTGTCTGAAAAATACTGCTTTTTGGTGTTTGGAATATTGTGATATCCTGTCAGTATGATTATTTTGCAATGGCAGGTGACTTAGGTGTTTGTTCCTTAGGAGGAAAAGACTATAGAGACAAATATACAACAAAAATAATAGTGTACCAAGAAAAACATTTTAATGTTCTATAGAGCTTTTGTTATCATGAACTGGCTGGTTTGTGTCTGCCTTGTTTATCTACAACACCTAATTCTGGAGAATTTTTTAAAAAACAAAAGAATCCATTGACAATATTTAGCTTGTTCTGCATGAGAGGGGATTTGGACTTCACTGATTTTGGGTGGGGTTGTTTTGGGTTTTTTTTTTGTGGTTTTTTTTTTTTTTTTTTGTTTCGGGTTTTTTTTGTTTTTTTTTTTTTTTGTCAT